AAAAAAAAAAAAAAAGAAATGGACTCAGAAATAAGATGGGAGGATGGACCAGGCGCTCCTCATTTCCCCCCAAGATGCTTACACACTGTCTCCGTCTTTCTCCCTCCTTCTCTGTCTCTCTCTTTCTCCCTGTCTTCTCTCTCACACACCCCCAAACCATCCATGTATAGGCCTCCCAGGAGCACAGGATCAGAGACAAAGCAGGCAAACAGATAAAGGAGCAAGGGGAGAGGAGCCAGTAGTCTACCAGCCACTGTGCTGGGCACATAGACCACCTGATAGCCAATTCCCTGGCTTCTAGGTTAGCGTTATTGGTTATTGTAACCCAGAGAAACTGAGAAGTACAGGGGCTTCCCCAATAAGTCGTATAACCCATAAGAGGAAGGTCTGGGATCTGAAGAGTCTCGTGGAAGATGACAGTGGAGCTTGGGAACATGAGGTTATACCCAAAAGTTGCAAGTAACTAGATTCCTGGAAAACTTCACTAGGAAACAAACAGAAAGAGTCCTAGATGGCCAGATGTCAGTGTGGAGTGCCACTGTGACAACACCGTGAGGTCCTAGGATTCTCCTGCAACAGAGTCAGCACCCACACCTTCAAATTCAGGCCGCTCTCTCCTCTGTCCATGACCCCCTGGTATTCACTGGGACACTCTGTTCACTTGAGGAATGATGAAATGAACAAGTCATCCTCTTTGCAGTCCAGTTTTGTCCCACTCTCTGCTTTCCCTGATGCCGTGTTTACTTAGGGATATGTGTCTCGATCTGTGCTAGAAACCAAAGAAGTAAAAACCCAGGCTCAGATCTTGTCACTGTGCAAAGTGTAGGTGTGAGAAGTGTGAAGATTTCAGAGGGAGGTGCAGCCTTATCACAGAAACTCTGCCAACAAGCAACACTCGCCGTGCTCCCCAGGTCTAGAATATCGGTCAAAACTTCAGTTTTGGTTTCGGATAAGCCTGCCTCTTCTAATGGTTTGTGGGCTCCCTCATGCATTCTCCTCAAACCAGACTCCCAAAGTTGCTGGGGGCAAAGCAAAGCCTGGACATCAAGTCTCATAGCCAGATGTTATCAGAAGCATCGAAACTTCCTGGTTGTACAAATGGGGCTGAACGTCCCATAACAGGAGACATTCTTTGGATATTTTGGCCATGCACCTTCCTGGCCCAGCTGGAATCAAGAAGTTCCTGAGACAGAACAAAAATGGAAATGAACCAAAAAAATCAAGTTATCTCCCTTCTGGGAACCTCAGAACCTGGGTTAGTTTAAGAGCTTGCAAAGATCTCGTCCCGTTCTGATTTTGTCTCCATGTTTCTCATTTCTCTAATGCTTTGCACGAAAGGCTGCCAAGAAGGGATGTAGATATTCCTCCCTTCTGCTCCCAGCCCCAGCATTTCTACCAAAGCCCCCAAGTCCATTCAGGTACCTCCCTCCTTTGCAATGAGCTGAGGAGGAAATGGAAATATTAAGACAATCTGGAATTTATAGCGCTCTCCTAGGGATTACAGACCTTCAGTCAACCAACCAATTTATTTGGTTAATCCTTTGAGGGTAAAACTTAGACTAAGCATTTCCAGGGCAGCCGGTTGAGGGCCAAAGTAAAGAAAACCTTTCTAAGAATGAGAACTCCCCCCGGTGGAATGGAGAGCCTTGTGATATATGTAAGAAGCCCCTACCACATGGCACTCAGGCTGAGCTGCTGATTGAAGAGAAGATTATTAGAGCGCAGGTGAGAGCTGGGCACCCCCCTTTACCTTGTAGCATTAACCCAGGACCTTATATTCCATTAACCCAGGATTGGATTTATCAGTTATTTACCACCCGCTTTGGGTTGCCATTATTATTCCTTGGCACGTCCATAATAGTTAGTTTCCCTTTGGAGACAAAAATCATAGCATGTCTCATATTACAATGTGCATATTCATTTATTTACCTATTTGATCAAATAGAAATGTATTTGAGTCCCATGCTGAGAAATGTGAGGGAGAGAACATGGCGAAATGGGGTGGAGTGGAAACCGTGCTGATCTCACTTTGCCCTTTTAACCTCTAGTCTTATGTGGGAAATTGGAGTAGGTTACTCCTCTGGGAACCTCGGTGTCCTGTAGAAAGTGGGAATGGTGAGACCTACCTGAAGAAGGTAGATAACGCCCACTTGGTAGAACTGAGTC